GAAGTCTGGGGCGAGCGCGCGATCCCCAAGGGAGCTGCGAGGAAGTGCAATAAAGGCGAGAGCGCCGCTCCTGAAGGGGCGCGAGAGCGCGGCGCCGTGGCAAAGGGCAGGGGGGAGTCGCAGGCGAGAGCGCGATGCCGGAGCAAGCTGTCAAGAAGCGTCCAGCGGAAGCGGAGGGGGGGGCAGTAAATTCAAGCGGCAGCCGCTGTTGTTGTTGTTGTTGTTGTTGTTGAACATTATTTCTTCTTAAGAATAATTATTGTTGGGACCCCTGGTGCGCGACCCCCCCGCCGCGCCTAGGCCGCAGCCACATTTTCATCATTTTCGTGAGGAAGTCTCAGGCAAAACGATTGGTACCGGATCCGGTTGTTTTGTTGTAATCCGTTTTCCCTTGCAAAAAACACTATAAAATGACATTTCTTGTTCTAATATGATCAAATTGCAAGAATCCCTTGCAAAAAATAAGGTAAAGTGGACATTCGTGCGCGCAAGACGAAATCCTTCCAAAACCTTAGGTTTCGTAACGATTTTAACATAAAAACATCAAAAACCCAATGGTTTTTTAAGAAAAAATTGTCAAAATGTCCTTCCGCGCGCGCTGTCCGAATCCCACAAAACCAATGGTTTTTCAACATTTATGTTACATGAGCTCGCGCGAGCTACTTTTTCTTGTTCTAACATAATCAAATTTCAATAATCCCTTGCAAAAAATAAGGTAAAGTGGACATTCGCGCGCGCAAGACGAAATCCTTCCAGAAACCTTAGGTTTCGTAACGATTTCAACATAAAAACATCAAAAAGCCAATGGTTTTTCAAAAAAAAATGTCCAAATTTCCTTCCGCGCGCTGTCCGAATCCCACAAAACCAATGGTTTTTCAACATTTATGTTACATGAGCTCGCGCGAGCTACTTTTTCTTGTTCTAACATAATCAAATTTCAATACTCCCTTGCAAAAAAAAGTAAAGTGGACATTCGCGCGCGCAAGACCAACAAAAAACACGACGATCTCAGGAACTTGCCCCAAAAATGTGACCAACTCCGCTCTCTCTGTCTCTCTCTCTGTCTGCTCTCTGTCTCTCTCTCTGTCTGTCTGTGTCATGTATTGTATGTCACAATTGCAGGATGCTGGGCACACGCGCGCCCCGAATAAGTGACCAAGTTCTGTGGGTGTGTACCCCACGCCAGTGTAGTAGCCACGGTCGTCCGCACGCCACGAAGTGAAGTGTCCCAACGTCATAGGGCGGGAAGCTGGGTTTGGGTGGTCGCGAAGAGTCGTTTGGATATTTGGTAGAGCTTGAACTGCCCCCCCACGAAGTGGGGGTATTGTCTCGCGTCGCATGAAAACCCTGGCACTGGTGAGAACACTGAGCGTTCGGGTAAAATGATTGTGGTTGTTGTTGTTGTTGTTGTTGTTGTTGTTGTTGTTGTTGTTGTTGTTGTTGTAATTCAGGGGCCAGGGGCCCAATTTGATCGGGGGTGGACAGAACCCCCAACAGTGACACGTCGATTAGTGAATTGTCCGTTTTCGGTTCTCGAGAGGGCGCCGTGGCCGTTATTTTCCAGGCGTGCGCCCGCCAGGTTTGGGCCCCAGGTCGTTTTCACTAAACCACGTTTGACTAAAGGGGGGTCTGTCCATCCCCGAATGAAGTCAAGCGGCAGCCGTTGTTGTTGTTGTAATTCAGGGGCCAGGGGCCCCATTTGAGCTTTTGCCACTGTCCCTGATCAAACGCGGGGTCCGAGCCCAGGATGGGGCACTTCAAATGGAAACTACGATGTACGCCGGAGGGGGGGGGGGATCAACACCAATCGTTGTTCCGCAATGAAGACTCAACAGCAACCGCCAGTTTAAGAGTGGTCGCTTGTATTTGCTCGCGTGCCATTCAAAACGTCTAGTTCAAGCCCTCGATACCCGCCCTCTTCGTCTTCGATCGTACCTTTTGGGGGGTACGTCTTTCTTACCTGCAGCGTGTATTCCGTGCAGCCCGCTAGGCAGGGGAAGAGAGGAGGGAAGGAAGGGACAAGGGGCAGGCGGGTTGCTGGAGCGTGCGTCCTGCATGAGTCGCGAGGAAGTCTCAGGCGATAGTGCGATTCCCAAGTAAATCGCAAGGAAAGTCATAGCGAGAGCGTGATCCCTGAGTGTCGAGGGCGAGGCTTCTGAGTCAATTGTGGAGAACAACCACGCGATGGCGCGAATTCTGTATGAAGTGTGAGGAAGTCCTACGCGATAGCGCGATATTTCGTGAGAAAGTCTTCTGCGGGAGCCGGAGCCGCTGTTGTTGCAAAGTGGGGGCCAGTTGCACAGTTTGGTGAAATTTAAGTTTCCCTTGTAAGGAACAAGGGGCGAGCCCCGCGAGAACCATTTTAATTGTAAAAATTATTGTTACTGGGCAGGGGGATCAACAACAGTAACTCTTCAGAAATGAGAAGTCACTAACAACAGCAGCCAAAACCACAGCAACAACAACAATAACACCACTATCACCAATAACAACAACACCAACAACAGCAACAACAACAGCAACGGCAACACGACAGCAACAACAGCAGCAACAACAACACGTGTATTAATACTGTTCGTACCATTTGCTCGCATGCCACTCGCCACAAATGTCACACACCCTCGGTACCCGCCCTCTTCGTCTTCGATGGTGCCCCCTTGGGGGTATATCTTCCACATCTGCCAAATGCATCTAGCGCAGCCCTCAAAACAGGGGAGGAGGAGACTGATGGAAGAGGGAGGGAGATGCATGGAGCACGAGACAAATTAGCAGGAGGGGGGCTCGGAGCAGAAAACACGCAACAAATCCAGACGAGTAGATCGGGGTGGTAGACCCGAGCGGGCTGGTCGGGAAGGCGGGCCCAGGCGGCCAGGTCGAGCAGGCGGGTTGCTGAAGCGTGAGTCTTGCATGCATCGTGGGGACCTCTCGAGCGCTAGCACGGTCACCGAATGAATCGCAAGACACGCCGAAAAGACATTGCGGTTCCTGAGCGTCGAGGGCGCGGCGTTTGAAAATATTGTGAGGCCGTCCCGCGCGAGAGCAAGAGTTTGTAATACATTGTGAGGAAGTATCAGGTGGGAACCGCTGCTGTTGTAAACCGGGGACCGGGACACAGTTTGGTTGCAATTATCTTCCCCTTGTTGTTTTAGAAGTGCGAGCCCTGGGAGGGGCAGATCAAATTAAAGATACCAAGGTTAATGGAAGGGGGAGCAGCACTAATTTTATTCCCCTGGACTAATTATTCTTCAAAACAAGAACGATCATTTTGAGACGAATCGCTCCTATCTGCTCTCGTGACACTCAACACGCATATCCAAACCCTCGGCACCCGCCCTTTTCGGTTTCGACCGTCCCTCTTTTTGGCTCTCTCGTCCTTACCTGCCATGCGCATGCAGCGCAACCTTTAAGACAGGAGAAGGGAGGACGTATGGAAAGGGGAGGGGAAATCATGGAACACGGGATACAATAGCAGGAGGGGGGCTATGAGCAGAAGACACGTGGCAAGACCAGACGGGCAGATCGGGTGGGTAGACCCCTAACGGGAGGGTCGGGAAGGCGTGCCCAGGTGGTTCGGTCGAGAGGGCGGGTGACTGAAGCGTGGGTCCAGCATGAATCGCGAGGGAACCTCTAGCGACAGCGCGATCCCCACGTAAACTGAAAGAGTGGCCAAAGCGAGGGCGTGATGCCGGAGTGTCGAGAGCGCGGCGCTTGAATAAATTTGAGGATGCCCCTCGCGAGAGCGCAATTCCTGTATACACAGTGAGGAAGTCAAAGTCGAGAGCGCGATTCTTGGATACATCGCAAGTACATATCAAGCGGGGGCTGGTGCTGCTGCAAAGCGGGCGCCAGAGGCACAGTTTGGCGACCACGTTTTCCTTGTGTAAAAAGCAGGGTGCGAGCCCCGAGGAGGCACTTCAACCGAAACAATGAATGGTTACTGGAAGGGGGATCAACATTCCTTGTTCTTGAAATTAGAGTTCAGCAGCAGCAGCAATCGTTTCAACACTGTTCGTTCTTCCCTGCGCAAGTGCCACTCAACACGTATATCCCGAACCCTCGATACCCGCATTTGTCGTGTTCGATCGTATCCCCTTCGGGGTGTACATTCTTAACCTGCAGCGTGTGTGTGTGTGTGTTGTGCAGCCCCTAAGGCAGGGAGAGACACGACGGATGGAATGATGGGACAAAAGGGAAGAGAGGAAGATGGAACGCGAGAGAAAATAGCAGCAGGGGGGGCCAGGAGCAAACACCACGTGGCAGGACCAGACGGGCAAATCGGGTGGGCTGACCTTACCGGGCGGGTCGGGAAGGCGGGCCTAGACGGCCAGGTCGAGCAGGCGGGTTGCTAAAACGTGCGTCTTGCATGAGTCGCGATGGGCTTTCGAACGATTGCGTGATTCCCAAATACGTGTTGAATACACACAGCGAGAGCGTAATTCTTGAGTGTCCATGGCGTGACGTCTGAGTAAGCAGGATGTCCCCACGCAAAATTATGATTCCTGCATTAAAGTATGAGGAAATCGATCGCGGGAACGCGATTTAAATCATTTGTGCGGAAATATGAAGCGGGAGCCGCTGCTGTTGTAGACCAGGGGCCAGGGGCACCGTTTGATCAGGAAGCTTGTCCCGATAAGAAAAAACAGCGAGGCCTGGGAGGGGCACTTCACTTGAACAAGCAATTTTGTTACGCGAATGCGTGGGTCCTGCATAATTCACCAGGAAGTCTCGGGCGAGAGCGCGATTCCTTAGTAAATTGTGAAGAAGTCCCAGGCGAGAGAGATATTCCTGAATGGCGACGGTGTGGCGTCTGAACAAATCGCGAGGAAATCAAAAGCGAGCGCGATTCTTGGATAAATTGTGCGTAAGTTCTTCTAAGTAAATTGCATGGACGTGTCAGGCAGGAGCCGCTGTTGTTGCAAACCGGGGGCCAAGAGCACAGTTCGAGGAGAGACGTTCCATCCGAAAAATCGGTGTGCGAGCCCTGGGAGGGGCATCTCAATAGGAAAACCAATAAATTACCAGAGGGGGGATCCACAATAATCATTCATTAGTGAGGGCTCAACAAATATTTTAAGGCTGTTCGTTCACATTTCTTCGCGTGGTGTATCCCGAAACTTGGGCACCCGCCTTCTTCGTCCTCGAGCGTACCCCTTTGGGGGTACAGTTTCCTTACATGCTTCGTGCATGTAGCACAGATCCTAAATCAGGGGAAGAGACGACGGATGGGTGAGTGAGGGAGATGGATGGACCACGGAAAACATTAGCCTGAGGGGGGCTAGGAACAGAAAACACGTGGCAGAACCAGACGGGAAGATCGGGCGGGCAGACCGTAGTGGGCGGGTCGGGAAGGCGGGCCCAGGCGGCCAAGACGTCCAGGCGGGTCGTTGAGGCGTGAGTCTTGCGTGAATCGCAAAGAAAACTCAAGCGACAGCGCGATTTCCAACTACGTCGTGAGAAACGCCAAAGCGAGAGCCGGATTCCAGGGTGCAGAAGGCGCGGCGTCTGAATACATTGCGAGGAAGTCCCACGCGAGAGCGCGATTTTTGCAAAAGTTGTGAGGAAGCCCCGCGCGACGACGTGAGTTTGGAATACATTGTGAGGAGGTAGCAGGCGGGAGCCGTTGTTGTTGTTGTAGCTGGGGGGCCAACGATACAGTTTGAGCACAAACACTTCCATTGAAAAGAAGGGTGCGAGACCGAGGAGGGACATTTTCATTGAAAACTAGCATGTGCACCGGTGGGGGGGATCAATAACCAAATATTCATCCAGAGGTAGATTTCAAGAACAACAGCAGCAACAGCAACACCATAACACTAACAACCATGTTAAGAACGTGTGCTATTATCTTATCGTATGTCACTCAACATGTATACACCAAGCCCTAGATACCCGCCCTTGTCGTCTTCGATCGTGCCATTCCTTTGGGGGTCATCTGTTCCGTACCTGCCACGTGTACTTGGCGCAGCGCCTAAGGGACAATGGGGAGGGAGAAGGATGGAGAACGAGAGAGATAAGCAGGAGAGGGGGTCGGTAGCAGGAAAACAAGCGCCAGAACCAGACGGGCGGGTCAAGCGGGCGGGCCCTAACGGGCGGGTCGGGCGGGCGGTCCCAGACGGCCGGGTCGACCGGGCGAGTCGTTGAATCATCAGTCTGCATGGATCGCGGGGAAGTTTCGAGCGAAAGTGCCAGCGCGTGAGCGAGAGAGTGATTCCCAGAGCGAGAGCGTGATGCCTGGTTGTTGGAGGTGCGGCGTTTCAATAAATTGTGAAGTGCCACGCGAGAGCGCAACTCTTGCATACACCATGGGGAAGTCCCACAAGAGATGGCGATTCTGAGTCACTTGCCAGGAAGTATTAGGCGGGAGCCGCTGTTTTTTGTGTTTTTTTCATTTGTTTACAACAAAAAAACTTGGGGGCAGCAACGCAGAATGGGGCTCAAAACCTTCCCTTGTAGAAAACAAGGTGCGAGCCCCGGGTCGGGCACATCAACTGAGACACAGAAGGTGCATCATATTGGGGGGACCGACAAATAATAGCTTAAAACATGAAAATGGAATTCGAGGGTCATTTGAGGCGTTCAATGTGCCCGCGTCCCATTCAACATGTGTATCCAAAACCCTCGATGCCCGCCCTCTTCGTCTTCGATCGTGCCCCCCATGAGGGCACATCTTCCTTACCTGCCACATGTACCTGGGGCAGCGCCTAAATTATCCTGGCGAGGGGCCCAACCATATGCAGTTGTGAGTACCGTCGTTTCGGGCATCGCCGTCGGGGGATCTCCTCATGAGGCCATGGAGCATGCGAAGGGTGTGCCGATGTGGGGCGGGGCCGCCATGAACGGCGCTGCTTCTGGTGCTTTAGACGGAACGCACTACGGGGCCGCGAACAGTGTGAGGGGTGCGCCGCAGTGGGGCGGGAATGCCATTGGGACCTTCGGTGGAGCTCCGTATGGGGCCACGAAGCGCGTTACTGGGCGCAGGACCTGCATGCGAGTTCTGCCATTGGGACCTTCGGTGGAGCTCCCTATGGGGCCACGAAAAGTCGCACTGGGCGCAAGAACCGCGTGCGAGTTCCGCCACTGGAACCGTCGGTGGAGCTCCCTATGAGGCCACGAAACGCTGAATTGGGCGCGGGAACCGCATGCGAGTTCCGCCACTGGGACCTTGGGTGGAGCTCCTTATGGGGCCACGAAACGTTGCATTGGGCGCAGGAAGCGCATGCGAGTTCCGCCGCTGGGACCTCGGGTTGAGCTCCCTATGGGGCCACAAGCACCGCATCGGGCGCAGGAACCGCATGCGAGTTCCGCCATTGGGACTTTCGGTGGAGCTCCCCATGGGGCCACGAAGCGCGTTACTGGGCGCAGGAACCGCATACGAGTTCCGCGACTCGGACCTTCGGTGGAGCTCCAGATGGGGCCACGAAAAGTTGCATTGGGCGCAGGAACCGCATGCGAGTTCGGCCACTGGGACCTCAGGTGAAGCTTCCTACGAGGCCACAAAGCACCGCACTGGGCGCAGGAACCGCGTGCGAGTTCCGCCACTGGAGCCGTCGGGGGAGCTCCTTATGGGGCCACGAAACACCGCACTGTGATCAGGAACCGCATGCGAGTTCCGCCACTAAGACCTTCGGTGGAGCTCCCTATGGGGCCACGAAACGCTGCACTGGGCGCAGGGATCGATTGCGAGTGCCGCCGCTGGGACTTTCGGTGGAGCTCGCTATGGGTCCACGAAACGTTGTACTGGGTGGGGGAGATGCATGCGAACTGCGGAGGAGGGAGGAGAGGGAGGAGGGAGGGGGGGGAGGAGGAAGGAGAAGGAGGAGGAGACGCGGGGCTCTGTCTCTGCAAAGCGAGGACCCAACACCACAGGAGGAATTGGAAAAGCAGGGAAGGGGATGCAGGAGGGAAGGGACAAGGGGGAGGGAGAAGGATGGAGGACGACAGGGATTTGCAGGAGGAGGAGGAGGGTCAGGAGCAGGATAACAAGCGACAGAACCAGACGGGCGTGTTGGGCGGGCGGGCCCTAACAGGGGGGATCGGGGCGGGTGGTCCCAGACGGCCGGGTCGAGAGGACGGGTCGCTGAATCATCAGTTTTGCAAGTATCGCGAAGAAGTTTCGAGCCCTAGCGCGATTCCCAAGTAAATCGTGAGGAATTCCAGAGCGGGAGCGTGATTCCTGAGTGTCGAGGCCGCGGTGCTTCCATAAACTGCCAGGAAGTCCCACGCCAGACCGCGATTTCTTTGAAAGTGGTAAGGAGCTCTCCAGCGAAAGTGCGATTCTTCAACACATCGTGAGGACGTCTTACGAAGGAGCCGTTATTGTTGCAGTTCGGAGGCCTTCAACAGAGCTTGGAGACATAAGACTTCCCCCTTGTAAAAAGCAGGGTGCCAGTCCAACCGAGGGCACTTCAATTGAAAAACATAAGGTGCACTGGATGGGGGATCAAAAACAGGTATTATTCAGAAGTGAGGATTAAATAGTCGCAAGACGGTTCGCTCTCTTCTGCTCGGATGTCAATCAGAAATGAGGATTCAGCAGCGATCGTTTCAAGATTGTACGCCCCTATACGTTCGCGTGCCACTCCACATGTGTATCGCAAGCCTTAGATCCCTGCCCTCTTCGTTTTCGATCGTGCCCGTGGCCTTCGCAACGAGATCTCCACAGCAAAGAAGGCAATCAAGCCAGCAAACAAGCAGAGAAGCAAGACTTGCGGCACCCCAACCGTATTGATACTGCGTGTGCGTCACCCTTACAAGGGGCGACGCGCGCACCGAGAAATCGTTTAGAAGACGCGTCGTGGCGGGCGCTTTCTGACCGCACCGCTCGGGAAGCAATATACTACATGATGCTTATGCCATCGTTTTCTTACTCATTGTTTTGCAGATTGGTGCCCCCCGTGGAGTAGATCTTGGCTATTGTTTGCGCATGCTTCAAGCAGGTGGAGCCTCCCCTATAGGACGCACTGCTGCAAACAGTCGCATCAAGCAGAGGTCCGAGCCAGACCCCTCCCCCCCTCCCCCTTCTTCCGCCCAATGTCGAAACGCCGAACAAGAAAACGTTCACTATACTGTATGTTCGGGGCGGCGCAATCGCGGTCGTGGTCGCGGTCGCGGTCGCGTCGTCGTCGTCGTCGGGTCGGACGATGGTCGCTAGAGGTTCAGAGAAGGGCCAAACACGTTCAAGCACATCAGGGAGGAGAGGGAGGAGGAGGAGGAGGAGGAGGAGGAGGAGGAGGAGGAGGAGGAGGAGGAGGAGGAGGAGGGAGGAATGAGGAGGACGAGGACGAGGACGAGGACGAGGACGAGGACGAGGAGGGCACCTCGTACGTTAGCGTGTCCTTGCGCGTCCCACAAGCCGCGAGGCCTGCGGCGACGACCCCCTCGCCTGCGGCGACGACCCCCTGGCCTGCGACGTCTTCGCCCTTGGCCTGCTCGCGGCGGGGCTCGCCGTGGGCCGGCCGCTGCGGAGCGCCGACGTGGTGTGCGGGGGCGCGCTGGCGGCCCTCGAGGGTGGAAATCCTGCCGGCCACGCGCAGGGTTAAGTCGGGCATGTCCCTCTGCAGGAGGCCGATTTACAAAGTAGTCAAAAAGAAAGTCTGGGGAGGATTTTTCGACTATTTTTGGATATTGTTTGACCTTCGGCGATTCGGCGCAAGGGAGGGCCCGATTTGCTCCACGCCGACATCGCCGATGCATCGCCGACGTCGCCGCCGCATCGCCGATACATCTGCGATGCATCGGCAATTTGGCGCGATCCTCCGGCCCCTTCTAGTCGGACCACATTTTGGAGGCCTCTTGCCGGCTCCGCGCAGAGAGGGTTAGGGGGAGGGGGAGGTCAGAGGCACCCCGGGAGATGTCCAGGGAGTAGCGGTATCATTGCTTGTTGTTCCCAACCATCTTGTGGTGTTGGGTCTTCGTTTTGACGAGAAAGAGCCCCGCGTTCCTCCTCGTTCCTTCCTCCCCCTCCTCCCTCCTCCTCCCTCCCCCCCTCCTCGCCTCTGTTCTTCGCATGTCTCTGTTTCGCCGCATACCTCACACGCTTCGCGGCTCCATAGGGAGCTCCACCGAAGGCCCCACTGGCAGGGTTCGCATGGCGCCACCGCACAAATTTCGGCACACCTCGCAAACGCTTCGTGGCCCCACAGGGCCCCAGTGGCAGGGTTCGCATGGCGCCACCGCACCAATTTCGGCACACCCCTCACACGTTCCGTGGCCCCATAGGGGGCTCCTCCGAAGGCCACAGCGTCAGGGTTCGCATGGCGCCACCGCGCCAATTTCGGCACACCCCTCACACGTTCCGTGCCCCCATAGGGAGCTCCACCGAAAGCCCCGCTGGCAGGTTTCGCATGGCGCCACAGCGCTCATTTTGGCACACCCCTCACACGTGTCGTGGCCCCAGAAGGGAACTCCACCGAAGGGCTCAGCGGCAGGGTTCGCATGACGCCTCCGCGCCTATTTCGGCACACCCCTCACACGCTTCGTGGCCCCATAGGGAGCTCTACCGAAGGCCACAGAGGCAGGGTTCGCATGGCGCCACTGCGCCCATTTCGGATCGCCCTTCACACGCTTCGTGGCCCCACAGGGAGATCCACCGAAGGCGGGGCTCACAACTGCGGTACCCACAATTGCATAGGTTGGGTCCTTCGCCAGGATATTTTTCGGCAGCGCGCAGAGGAGAGCAGGGGGAGAGGGGAAGGCTTGTTACAAGGAGGTTGCTTCTTAGAAGGTGCAGGCCTGATCTATAGATCAGAGTGAGGGGGCCGAACGGTCATTCATTGTCCCTGGGTGCGTGGCTGAAGTGGAATTCCGCGGTGCGGATTCTCGTTGTTGTTGTTTGTTGTTGTTTGTTGTTTGTTGTCGTCGTCCCACCCGCAACCCGCCCCGCGACCCACCCGCGACTCACCCCGCGACCCACCCCGCGACCCACCCGCGACCCACCCGCGACCCACCCGCGACCCATCGCGCGACCCACCCCGCGACCCACCCCGCGACCCACCCCGCGACCCACCCCGCGACCCACCCCGCGACCCGCCCGCGGCCCACCCCACGACCCACCCGCGACCCACCCGCGACCCACCCGCGACCCACCCGCGACCCACCCCGCGACCCACCCGCGACGCACCTTCGACCCAAACCACGCTCAAGGTACAAACCACCATTTTCGGCGCCTGCGGCGGGCTTTTTTGCATTCCTTCCAGGTGGAGAGCCCGCGACCCACCCCGTGACCAACTCGCGACCAACCCACGACCCAAACCACGTTCAGGGTACAAACCACATTTTTCGGCGCCTGCGGCGGGCATCTTTTGCATTCGTTTCAGGTGGAGAGCCCGCGGCCCACCCGCGACCACGTTCAGGGTACAAACCACATGTTTCGGCGCCTGCGGCGGGCATCTTTTGCATTCGTTCCCGGTGGAGAACCCGCGGCCCACCCGCGACCCAAACCACGTCCAGCGTACAAACCAATTTGTTGGGCGCCTGCGGCGGGCTGCTTTTGCATTCCTTCCAGGTGGAGGTGGAGAGCCCGCGACCCACCCGCGACCCAAACCACGCTCACTGAACAAACCAATGCCGCACAAGCGCGGCGGCGGATTTTTGCATGCCGTCTGAGCCCGCAAGGACCTCTTCAAGCCCCGCGCATCCACACCAGCCCGTCCAGCAACTTTGCCCTGGCGAGTTGCCTTGATCAAAGAAGGCGGGGAGCATAAAGTGGAAAAAAGGATTGCGTTGCAGTTATCTTGGGAAAGGAGGGGGAGGCAGGAGGAGTAAACAGGGGACGAGGAGGACGCGGAAGAAGAGAGGATGTAAGGATAATGTGGAGAAAGAAAAGAGAGGAGGAGCAGGAGGACGAGGACGGGAGGAGGAGGGGGAGGAGGCGGAGGAGGAGGACGAGGAGGGGGAGGAGGGGGAGGATGATGATGATGGACGACAATGGGAGGACGATGATGGAGGCCGATGAGGGGGAGGACGACATTGGGAGGACGATGATGAAAGGACGAGGGGGGGAGAGGGAGGACGAGGAAGAAGAGGAGGAGGAGGAGGACGAGGACGAGGTGGAGGAGGAGGATGACGATGACGATGAGGACGAGGACGAGGAAGAGGAGGAGGAGGAGGAGGAGGAGGAGGAGGGGGAGTAGGAGGAGGAGGAGGAGGAGGAGGAGGAGGAGGAGGAGGAGGAGGAGAGCGCCATCGACAAGGAAGGTGGGGGCCACGAGGTCCGCCGGCTCGACGACGCCCGCGTCGCCCGCGCCCGCCCCCCCACTCTTATCCGCAATTGCGGGGTGCTACGTATAGAGCCGACGTCTTCTGAGAAGCAGCCTCCTTATAAGGAGCCTTCCTTCTTCTCCAGACCATCTTGTGCCCGCACCCAGATTCGGCTCATCTTAGAGGCCCCTTGGCGCCAGTTTTTCATCCCTTGGCGATGACGGTCGTGCCCAGGGGTTGGAAGGGGGGTCGTGTCACGTCACGATTGGCGCAGGCGCCGTCTGGGAATGCGCAGGGATATCCACTTCCAACACGGCGCCGGCGCGCATCGTGACGTGACCAGGGAGGGGGGGGCTGCGGGGCCAGTCACAGGCACTGTCGCGAAAAAAGATCACCGTGGCGAAGGACCCAACCATATGCAGTTGTGAGTACCGCAGTTGTGATCCCCGCCTTTGGTGGAGCCCCCTGTGGGGCAACGAAACGCGTTCGAGGGGTGTGCCGAAATGGGCGCGGTGGCGCCCTGCGAACCCTGCCACAAGGGCCTTCGGTGGAGCTCCCTATGGGGCCACGACACGTGTGAGAAGTGTGCCTCGATGGGTGCGGTGGCGCCATGCGAACCCTGCCGCCGGGGCCTTCGGTGGAGCGTCCTTCGGGCGCACCAGCGTCGAGAAGCGTCTTGTCATCGATGAGGTAGCGCCGATTCAGCGCCGACCAGCGCCGCCCACTCCGGGGACCGGTTCTTCCTCCCGAGTCGCTCTTCGACGGCCCCGAGGCCCGCGGGGGGCCCCGGGAGGCCGAAGACAGCGATAGAGGCCTCCCGCCGGGATGCTCGCACTCTTCGAGGGGGCTCGGGGCGCCCAGGTCCCCGAGCGCTTCCTGGCGCTCAGCGCGCCGGCCGCCGCGCACCTCTGCTCGATGCTGGCGCTGTGCGCGGGGGCCCGGCCCGGGGCGGGCGAGTGCCTCGAGGCGCTGCCGGCCGCCGAGGACTGGCTGGCCGAGGCGCGGCCCCGCGGCAAGAGCGCCGGGGCGGCGGCCGAGGCTCGACGAGCAAGCAGCACACACGCACCCACCCCCCCCTTCCCCCCCTCCCCTTCCCCCTTCCCCCTTCCCCCCCCCCCCTTCCTGGCTGGAGCCCAATGTCGAGACGCCGAATAAGAGAACGCCCACATACCCGTCGGTCGTTGAAAGCAGGTTTTTTGGGATTCGCAGGTTCCAATCTGCTGTAGGCGCCCTCTTGCCTGAAGGAGCGAGTGGCCTCGCCTGTTCCGCCCTCGCACCCGTTTTGTATGTCGTTTTCTCCTTCGTTGTTCTGCCGATCGGCGCGGGCCCTCGCACCCCCCCCCCTCCCCCCCCCTCCCGCCTCCTGGAGTAGGTCTTGGCTGTCTTGGGCGCCTGTTCCTGGCAGGTGGAGCCTCCCCCATAATGGACGCACTGCCGCAAACAGTCGCAGCGAGCAGAGGTCTGGAGCCACCCCGCCCCCTTGCCCCCCTTCCGCCCAAGATCGAAACGCCGAATAAGAAAACGCTCACATACCCATCGGTCGTTGAAAGTAGGTATTGTGGGATTCCCAGATTCCAATCTACTTTCAGCGCCTTTCTACTTCAGGGATCGCGTGGCTTCGCCTTTTCCATCCTCCTTAGGGGGCGGACGGAACCCAATCTGCTTCCAACGCCTTCCTACTTCTTCCGACCCATGTGCAGTGGAGCGCAGGAATCGAAGAAGAACAAACACGCATAAACGTGAGCTTTTGGCGCTACGGATTTCTTTTGGATCCGCGCTGTGGCCCTCCTGGCGGCGCCGCCCCTGGCGCGCTGCGCGCGCCAGGGAGGGAGGGGTCCGGCGCGGATCCAAGAAATCCGCGCGGACCTCCAAACATTTATGCTTATGTGGTCGATTGTTCCCCTAAGGAAGCGCACCACCACCACCATCTTGGGGGATTCACGATGGGCTGATGTTCGGGATGCAGGTGTGCACGAGGCCCCGCCAGAGCGCCCGCAACGAGATGCACCACCACCACCGCCACCCCTGACCACCCTCTGCCTCCATCCTCCAGGTGGTGGTGGTGGTGGTGGTGATGCGTTTACTTTTCCTTACCCGTATGGCCACAGGTCGGTGGGAGGAGGACTGGCTAATGGGTATGGGTGCGGGTTGTCGGGCCCCAGGGAGGCTCCGAATGGAGCGGGGACACTGATCCGACACAACGCTTCCATAGCCCCCTCCGCCCCCCCCCCATGGGTGTGGGTGTGTTTGTGGGTGTTGCTCGTTCGTCAAGGCCTGCCCGAGCCCGTTGTCTGAGCTCAGGGCTTACATACAAATCTGAGCGAGTCAAGGGCAACGGTCAGGGGGGGATCGGCTCAGGGGGAGGGGGGGAGGGGGGCGAATGTCGTTCGGTTGTCGCACGTTTTCGTCGGGATGCGTTCCAGCAGCTGCGCCTCGCCGAGAGCCTTCTGAGGGTGCCCCTGTCGTCACGACCGGCCACCGCCCAGCCGAGCTGAGACCCGAAAGCCAGACGACGAGAGTGCACCATTGTGCGGGGTAGGCTCAGGGGGGATGCATCGACCCTTCTCCTCCTCCTCCTCCTCCTCCTCCTCCTCCTCCTCCTCCTCCTCCTCCTTCTCCTCCTCCTGCTCCTCCTCCTCCTCCCCCTCCTCCTCCTCCTCCTCCCCCTCCTAATTTGGTGCCCAGAGCCTTCGCGGGCGCGTGCGGGGGCGCGCTGCTGCCTCGGAGGTCTCTTCCTGCCGGGATGCATCGACCCCGAGCCGCCCACGGATCGCCGACAGGGCCCCGATGGCCGAGTCCCCTGGTCTCGGGAGCATTGGGGGCCCGCCGCCGATCCCGTCGGCGATGCATCGCGGACCTCAAGCCGAGATGCTCCCCCCTCCATGGCAGGAGGCAGGAGGAGGAGGAGGGGGGAGGAGAGTGGAGGAGGAGGAGGAGGAGGATGGAGGAGGAGGAGGAGGAGGAGGAGAGTGGAGGAGGAGGAGGAGGAGGAGGACGAGGAGGAGACGGAGGAGGAGGGGTAGGGAGGGAGGGAGGAGGCGGAGCCAAGCCGACATTTCCCCCCCCCCCCCCCCCCCTCCCTGAGCTGGTCTCCCCACTGTCGTTCCCCTTCGGCGAGGGCTGGACGCCGTCCGGCGGGCCAGGGGGAGCGCAGGCCGCCACGAGCCCCGTGTGGTCTTGCTTTGCGGGCCTGCGCATTCCCCGGGCTCTGCCGCTCCAGCCGGGCAGGGGCGCCCGGTGTCTGAGTCGGAGCTGGCAGCGAGCGCCCTGGAAGGGGGCGTCGGCCTCGTCGCGTGCTCTCTTTTGTGCCAGGGAGGGTGGGAGGAGGAGGCGCGGGGGGAGAAGAACTCCTGGGCTCGAAGAGGGAAGAACGGCACGAACATAAATGTTTGGCGCTCGGCGGATTTCTCGGATCCGCGCTGGGCCCCATGGCGTTTCCTCTTCTTCTATGGACGCTTCCCAGTGCACATGGCTGGTCTGCGTGGACACGTCCCTGGATGCTTCACTTGACGCTTCCCTGGATGCTTCGCTGGATGCCTCCCTGGACGCCAGCCGAGCAAGAGTCTCGATTGGCGCTCTGTTACTGTTCACTTCATCTTTTGTTGCATGCTCGTGTGTGGCATGATTTTCCCTGGCTGGCATGTATGCTACACGTTATGCTTGCTAAGTCAAGAAGTGTAGCAGCACATATGTTGGCTGGCAAATCCCAAGAAGATGACATGCGTTTTTCGCCGCAGCGTGCTATCCCCTCTGGCGCTCGCGGACCCGATCAAATTTGCAAATGTTTTGGACATAGTGCAGTGCAGCTCACGGCGGCTTGGAGGCGTCTCCTGCGTGCGTTTTTTTAACGCACGCCTTGGTACTTCTCATGTGTGTGTTCGTTGAGTCTGTCCGACCGCACGTTAGTTGCCCTACGGCGATGGTGTTTGGTAGGCGTCTTGAGAAGGGGTTGCCATTGGGGCGTGGGGCATCGCATCCCAAAATATGCCACATCTATCTGCAGCTTGCCGTTCAGGCCCCCATAAGCAACCCATCATATTATGACGCCGATGACCTTTTCGACTGCCGCGTTATCCATGGTGACGCGTTCGAGCCTCAGCAGACGTGTTGTTCACTGCCCCTGCGAGGCGCACACCATCTCCGTGTATTGGCAGTCTTTGGCTAGACGCGTTGGTTGACTCTCGGCGCTCTGGCCGTCCGTTTCAACGTTGGGCTTGCCATCTTTTCCGCCCTGCCTGCTGCCGCGTCTCCCCCCCCCGGCTACCCCATAAGCAGCATCAATTAGCCTTAGACAAACGTCAGAGTTATCCCCCTCCGTTGGTGTTCCGGGAAGTAACCTGAGCAGGTTCAAAAAGTATTGTTTCGTGAAGGTTAGAGGGGAATGCCTGCAGGTTTGCCGAGACAGAGCCCGATCGGCGGAGAAACGTTCTCCCGAGGTTGCCAGACATCGTCAAGAGCACGGCCTCAAGAGAGGTTGACGCCGATGCCGGATAATGTTTTGTTCCGCCCTCTGGCGCGTCAGGATCGTTGGCCGCAGGCCTGGACTCCCCCCCCGACCCCCCACGTACTGGTGCTCGCGCGCATAACGTTGGCGATCGCAGCGCACCCCCGCCCCGACGTGCCCAACCCCGCCCAGGCGGTACCCTTATCCGGGGCACCAACCCCCCTCCCCCCCTTAGGTAACGACCGCTATCCGAAAATAATATAAATAATCATCAGCATCGTCAGCGGCATCATCAACATCATCATCATCAGCAGCATCAGCATCATCATCACCACCACCATCATCAGCAGCAGCATCATCTCGTCATCGTCATCATCACCATCATCAGAAGAAGAAGAAGATCTAGAGGATTCTCGAAGACCGTTCAGCCTCACGACTTCTCTGGCCCTTTCCGCGCTGCTCGCCCAGTGCAGCCAGATCCCACAAGCCTATGAACAGGGCGGTCCCGAATGCTTGTCAGCAGAGCGCATTCGCGACATGGGCGGTGTTGAGGCCCGGGCGGTCCTGCAAAGCACGGCCTCACTTGGAGGATGGAGAGCAAGATGGAGAGGAGGAGGGGCAGGAGGAGGAGGATCTATGGAGAACAATTTGCATAAACATTTTCTTTTGAGTTCTGCGCGGATTTCTTGGATGGGCGCTGGCCCGCCTGTCGGCGCCTGTGGCGCTGCCCCTGGCGCGCTTCGCGCGCCAGGGAGGGCGGGTCCAGCGCAGATCCAAGTAATTCAGGAAGTTCGATGTTTGTTTTATACCGTTCCGCAGATTCTGCAGATTCCGTTGATCGCAGATTCAATGTTTAGATTCGAAATCAGCGCAGGTTCTGCAGATTCGAAATCAGCGCAGGTTCTCCGAGATATCATGTCTATACCGCTTGGTTGTTACCTCTGGAGGTCGGTCGGTCGAGGACCGGGAGCGGTTCCGTCCGCGGAGCTCTTCCGGGGCGGGGGACGGAGTCCGAGTCAGCCCGCGGCCTTCGGAGTCAGCCCGCAGCCCTGGGAGACGGCGCCAGGACGCCAACAACCAAGACAGCAACAGCACACGGCAGGAGAGCCCCAAATCCCCCACTCTTCATCCACTTCACCCGCCCTACAATCTCGGCGGCGCGCGAAGGGGGGTAGGGGGAGGGGGGAAGGCTTCTTAGAAGCACCCCTGCGTTTTGGAAGGCGCTGGCCTTCTCTGTAGACGTGAGGCCGGCGCCGTCCAAGAAGCAGATGTGCCTCTAAGAAGCATCCCCCCCTCCCCTTACCCCCCGCCGCGCGCCGCCAGCAATCCCATCTCTGCTTCGAGGAGGAGGAGGAGGACGACGACGACAACAACGACCACGACGAGAAGGTGGAGGACGACGAGGATTAAGTCGGGCCTGTCCCTCTACAGGAGGGATATTCAAAAACAGGAAAGAATCCGGGGACCATGTTTTAAGACATGTTTGATTATGTTGGGGATATTGTTTTACTATTTCTAATCGTTCGTCCAGGGAATTCCCCTGTAGGGGGACAGGCCCGACTGAAGACGAGGAGGAGGAGGAGGAGGAGGAGGAAGAAGAGTAGGAGGAAGAGGAGGAGTGGGAGGAGGAGGAGGGAGAGGAAGAAGAGGAGGAGGAGGAGGAGGAGGAGGAGGTGGAGGGAGCGGGGACGAGGCGCCGCGGGCATGGTCCGCGCTCTGCGCCCCTCCCCCCCCCCTCCCCTTGGGGCGTGCGGCAGCGCGGGGGGCGGCGGGCCCTTCCTCCCCGTGCGGCCGCCCGCGCCACGGGGCCAGGACCAGGTCGGGCCTGTCCCTCTGCAGGAGGAAGATCCAAAAATAGCCAAAAAAAACAAAGAAAAAAACACACTCCAAACAGTATTTTAAAAACAAGATTCAAAGATAGCCAAAAGTCACCCGCACTGGCCAAACAATGACAGCGCCAACAAACATCGTCAAGCGTACTCAAAAATAGATCAAACATAGCAAGGGAATATTCAAACATAGTCAAAGATCAAACATAGTCAAAACATTGTCTGGGTATGTTTAGTTCTATTCACAAAATAGTTTGGGCATATTTTACTGTTCGTCCAAACTCCGCCTTTCGGGGGACACGCCCGACCTAACACGAGCTGGAGGGCGCAAGGCTGCACACCTCTGCACCGACCCCAGCCAGGCGCACCCTTCAGAGCAGGAAGAGAGTTACGGATATACCATTGTTCGTGCCGGAGAGCCCTCCAGGACTGGCTGTTCTCGAGGCTTTGGTCAGCGCGCACCCCAGGAGAGGTCCAGGACGCAGCGCGGTGTCGACACCTTGCTCCCCCACGCAATTCTGGGCCCAGGCTCGTCACGCGCGCCCCCTCCTGGCCGCTGCCAGAGGCGCCACCTGGTCCCGCCGATGCTGGGCTTACGTCGGGCACGGCCCTCTACAGGAGGCATATTCAAAGACATAAAAAAGTCTAGGGACGATGTTGTTTCATTTTGTTGTCCATCTTGGATCGTTTTTGATGTTTTGACTATTTGTCCAAAGTCCGCCTGTAGGAGGACATGCCCGACCTGATGCTGGGCGTGCGGGCCCAGGACCACCGCGCACGCATTACCATCCGGCCGCGGTCGGGAGGGCGCACGCAGCGCGCTCTTGGGCCCTGCAGGATGCGAGCCTGGCCCCAAAGTCGAGGTCCGATGTCGCGGGAAATCGAAGGAGGAACAACGGCATACACATAAGCTTTTGGCGCCCCGCGTGGAGCGCCAAAAGTTTAGTTATGTTGATGTCGTTTGTTTTTCCTTCTAGAAAATGGCATCATATAACAACACACCAGACTGGAGCCCCAGCCCCTAGCCTGATCTTCCTGCGGCGCTCTGCTGTTGTCCGCCGATCCGCGATGGCCCCATGGCCCGGAGCCAGACGGAGGCGCCCGGTGTGGGAAAGCTGCAGCGTCCAGATCTCGGTGTGGGCTTGGCCCAGGGCTGGCGATCTTTCTGGTGCGGGCCCGTTGGGGTCCCCCGATCGCTGCATGCGATGCGACAGCAGCGGCCTGCGCCCTCGGCTCGGGCCCCTCGCTCCCCGCCCCGGGGGAGTCTCTCGTGAGTGCAGCCCGCCAGAGCTCAGAGTTGGCTTGGCCCAGGGTCGGTGCAGAGCGCGGTGCGGAGCCCCGGCGCCCCTTCGCTGCTGCCGCGAGGGCGGCGAGGAGCCCCTCCGCCCCCTCGCTGGGGCGCTTCTGCAGGCACGCCCCCCGTCAAGAAGAGATGTGCACAGGCACCCTCCACGCTTACAGAAGGCAGTGCGCAACGATTCGCCAGACGATCGGAGGAGGAAACGGTACCCATATCTCTATCTGTCCCTGGTGTTTCCCTTTTGGGCCTCTGGAGAGGCCCTCGTCGCCACCGCCGGATTCGCCTCGAAGCCCTGGTCAGAACGCATCCCAGGAGAGTTTTGGTTTCCCCAAGAACATCTAAGATGTTACGGCTCCTCCGCACCGCACGTAGGTGGCCCGGGCGCGCGTGCATGCTCGTTCGCATCGTAGCCTCTGTGACATTACATTCGGGCTTTATCGAACCCTGACTTGATCGAGCCCCAATAGGATTCGATTACAGATGGATCCAGCCCTGTGAGAGTTCTATCAAGGCTAGATCCCGCCCCAGAACTTTGTTATTAGAGGTGGAGCGAATCCTACTCGGATGTCATTCGGATTGGGCCGAGCCCTAGTAGCATTATGTCAGAGCCAGCCCCTGGCGCGGGCGCCGGTGACAGGCGCGCCTCCGCTGACGTTGTCGCCGTCGTCGACGCCGTCGTGGGCGTCGCCGTCGTCGTCATCGTCGTCGTCGTCGTCGTTGTCGCTGTCCGTCGTCGTAGTCGT